AAACCCTTGGGTGCTGTCGGTGCTACTCGCCTTCCAGGATGGCGAGGGACACAGTGATCCGCATTGTGTCTGGCTGGAGACACTACAAGATATGGCCGCCAACCGATGTCAGTGGCGTTCTTGTTGTCAGTTTCTGTCCAGATTGCCTGAGTGAATGTCTGGAGGTGTATGCACCTCGGAATGATTGTGTTAAACTAGCACTAAGTCCCTCCCCTATCCACCTTTATTCTTTTCTTTACAATAAGGCTTTCAAATAAATCATGGTTGTACGGCAGTGAAGCATCGGTGTTGAACACTGATATCATGCTGTCGATGATGATGATGATGGTCCGAACCTAACCTCAGCATGTCGACTGCTCTTGCCTAGGCTTGGACAACCTGATAGTATCCCAGCCCTCGTGCTTCCTTCCGTTGGCATGGCAGCTAGGCACAGAAAGGGTGCTACAGCCGAACGACGATAAACACGGACTACTCGTTATCTGTATGGTCCAGAAATCCTCCTCCGAGCTCCGTTTCAATGTCATATTAGGAAACACGCCAACTATCCTCGGAATAAAGCATATGTGGACGCTTAGCTTCGCCTTATAGGGTGGCTTGGATATATGCAGGACCGCAGCCCTGGACCTATGAACCAGTTTGGAACTGTCTCCACTTGTTTGAATAAGGGCTTTGTCCACTGTTTCAGGTCACCACCTAATTCATCTCTCCTTAACCCGCCCGGCGAACCAGTGGGCCAGGGGCTATCTGCTGTCGTGTAAAAAGTGCCGTTTGTAAAGGCAGGTATCACCTACATAGCAAATGTGAGCCAGTAACAGAACTCCTCTATGGACTAAAAATAAGCCAGGTAGTCAGCAGTCCTCACATCTCTCGAGAGAACACGCAGACACTTACTTATGCACCGTTTAGTTATCATCACATCACTCTACATTAAAATATGTAAAAACATGGATTTTCAAAACACGGAGGGAGTCTGGCTTACCTTCGCCGTTGTTCGCAAGCGTTTATTTTTCAGTTGGATTCGTGCGACGGTATCACGGGTAGATCGCTTCGCCGAATGTGAGCGCAGTGATCGACCCGAAGTAGCACTTGAAAGAGAGTGCACAAGCGACCGAAACCGATCGTACTCTGATTTGGCCACAAAAAGACTCCAATCCATAGCAGAAAGGAAACGGATTTCCAGCTGGTTCAAGTCCTGCACGTCCATATTGAACACATCTGCCCAACTCGCGTTGTCAGACCCATCCACCGTGTCAATGTCATAAAGATATTTCGATGCGGTTGTCTAAACACAGAGAGTGAACGGAAAATAAGCAGTCACATACCATTGCTATGGCGAACAAATCCACGGCAGTTATCTCGTCCAACAGTTGTGGAGGTGGGTCAGTATTGGCGATCTTCTCGATAAATATCAATGCCGTAAGCATGGACACGGATGGTACCGTTTTGGCCCTGAAAGAATCACGGTAAGAAGACTAGCACGTTGTACCTGAGGTAATCCACTACACTGTGCCGGTCCAGTTTCCCTAGCCGACGTCTTGATACTGAGTTGACGAAAGAGGCTATGCCTTCTGAAGCGTAAAAACAGAGGTTAATGAAGAGCGAACGGTGCAAATGAAATGTGAAACTACTATACAAAAATTACCAAGAGATAGGGCTTGTCCCCATTAATTACATTCGTTTGCAGTGTAATGGTTGAGGTTAACAGAAAACAGACTGCATCGACTATAATTTCGAAGGTAAACGCTACAGAAGCCTAGATACGCATATGGACGGTACGGATGGAGAATCTACGACTCGGCCATATAATATAT